ATTTTCTCTCTGCGTTTACCGACGTCCGAATTGAGAATTCCCTCCCAACGTTCTTTTTCTTTATTTTTATATCGAACCTTGGGATCTCTTACTTATTTTTTTTTTTTTTTCTCGTTTCGTCCCGGCTATCGTAGTCCCAACGAAACCCCTGGCGTAACAGAATTGGGGGCTCGTGGTCCGGGAATTATTTCTCCTTTTCCACAAGACTTCGCAGTGAGGAACAGTGCTGTCATAGAATTGCGGAAAGGCACATAAACCGAGATGTCTGTAATAGATACTTTTCTAAACTCTCCCACTTTTTGACGGTCTATTAAAGCTGAAAAAGGACCATATTTTAGAGATAGGTTTAAAACTGGAGTTGGACGTAAGACGGTCTATCGCGAAAGGCGCAGTTGGTGGAGAGTGGTCTCAGAAGACATGGTCGATAATGAAGTTTTCGAACCGAAGGCGTTCTTGACAACCTTGTGTCAGAAGTGCCTCAACTCAGAAGCCCAGATCGAACTGGAAAAACTTAAGAAAAAGTTGAGACCCAGATTGCTGGCGAGAATTAGTCAGGAAACCCAGATCAGAGAAATGGAACAAGAACGACACGACAGGAGAGGGAGCGGAACAACTTTGACCTCACCAAGCAAATCCGACTTGTGCCTACATTCAACGAAGAAGACGTGGATAAATATTTCCAACACTTGAGAAAATTGCTTTAAACCTAGAATGGCCCATCGAAGCCTGGCCGACATTGCTACAGACAGCTTTGAAAGGTAAAGCACAAGAAACGTATGCCTCACTCTCAGTTATGGACAGTGCCGACTATAACGTCAGAAATCATCGATCCTGAGAAACTACGTAATTGGTACCAGAAGCATATAGGCAGAAATTTAGGGATCATAGAATGACGAAAACCAAACCTATGTAGAGTTCTTTAGGCAGAAAGAAACATATTTCGAACCGATGGATTTCATTGAAAGAAATAGGTGCGGATTATGATAAGTTAAGACAGTTAATCTTAATTGAAGAATTTAAATGGTGCGTTCACGACAACCTCAAAACATTCCTCAACGAAAGACAGGTCGACACAGCCACGAGATGGCTACCTCGCGGACGAATACACACTAACTCATAAGCGAGGCAAGAACGAATCAGAGGACCCATCTGAATATGGGAGAAGCACAAAGCCCCGAGTAATGGCTAGTGCTGGTCCGAGGACAAGATCTGGTCAGGTAAACTACCCACATCGACCGAACAGCCCAAGTGTAAACGGTTTGATTCTGATTCTTTTACCCACCGATGGACGGAAGGAGGGAAAAACATAACGTGTTACTACTGCGGGAAGGTAGGACACATGGCAGTTTTAATTGTTTCGAGAAGAAAAGTGTCGAACACCGAGGTACAGTCTCAAATAAACCACAAGGGTTTATATCATCACATAAGGATCTCAGTAAGAAGATCAAAGGTCAAATCAGAGAGGAATACGAACCATTTGTGTCGAACGGCTCCAGATGTCCAGTGGATGACCCCACGAAGAGGGTTAAAATCAAAATCCTAAGAGACACGGGAGACCCAATCTCTGATAGTCGGAAGAAGACATGCCACGCGGATCAGAGACAACCACAGGCTTAACAGTAGTTATACAAGGGGTAGGAAGTAATTTTGTTAGTGTCCCACTTCACCGGATCTCCCTTGACTCTGACATAGTATGTGGACCTATAGTCATCGGAGTTGTTGATAGTCTGCCTATGAAAGGCATATCGATGTTACTGGGAAATGACCTGGCTGGAGAAAGAGTTGTACCCCATCCAAGAGTGGTGCAAAACCGAAGCGCCTCGGAGGAGACTGAGAAGATCGAGGAAATGTATCCTGGAACATTCCCATCCTGTGTGGCGACCTGAGCGAATGCGAGAAAAAAGCTGAGGAGACGAAAGTGCCAGGATGGAAAGCGAGGACGAAGGGAACGAGGTGGTTGACCTCTCCCAAACTTGCTTAGGCCGTGAGATAGGATCGAACCCTATGCTATATAATAATAACAGACCCCAACATCAAGCCCTAAGAAAGAAAAAGGAAACGACAGGCGTCATGCCCACCATAGAAAGGTCTATGGCAACCTAACAGAGGAGGATAGCCAAATCCCCCTTTTCAAGAAACGTTACCTGAGGAAGAATTGAACAAGGTACCCTCAGGATACTACGCCGAGAACGAGATCTTAATGCAGAAGTGGAGACCCACACACACCTGCCCAGGAAAAATTGGTCAAGTGTACGTAAAAAGTTAGTATTACCAAGGAGATACAGAGAGGAAGTGTTTGGTGGCCCAGAACAAGATGAAGAGAAAAACGATCGAAACACTATTCAAGAAGTTAAATGCCGGAGACAAATTACTGGTGCTGTTACCCTTTGTCTGGTCACCCTCTGAAGGCTCACTTTCACGGTCCTAACGAAATTTCCTGGAAGGTTAGCGACCTCAAGTACATTGTGAACACTCCAGACCGAAGGAAAAAGAAACACAAATGCGCCATATCAAACCATATTACGAGAGAGGGAAACCAAGCCCCATCCTAGCCGTAGATGGACCCTCTATGCCTCTAGTCATGCAGACACTTTATCATGCTGCTAACATAATAAAGAATATACCTTGATATATATATATATATATATATATATATATATATATAAAGTGGAACAGAGGAGAGTAAATCGTTTATATTTTTAAATAAATCCCATGTCCTATTGTGTTGAAAAAGAATATGTTTATCCTTTTTCATTTTTTGGTGAGGGATGTTACGTTAACCCCATATTTGTACCCTCACCTCAGATTTTATAAGTACATTTTCAGTACCTTTTGTATTTGATTTAAACATATGAATCTTAATTTTTTTATTTCTTAAATACGCAGATTGTGAGATATATATTGTTTTTATAACCAGATGAGTCAGGGCCAGTTCTCGGAGAAGAACCTTCCCTTCTACCCCATCTCCTACCTGGTCCGCTGTTTGACAGATAGGTGTGAATGATGTTAACCAGTTCCATAGTCGCTGGTCAAAACAATCGCTGCTTGACAGATAACTGTGGATGATATTAACAGGGTCCGTGAATGACGATACCTTTTTTTGGGGGCCAACACGTGACTCAAAATATAGCAGTTTTTCGTTTCGGACGTGTTAAGGTAACAACAACGACACACAGTTACTGGCTATCAGAGGAGTCGGACGTCACCAAAAACCCGTCTTAGCTATTCGCCATTAGAAGAATTAGATGCCACCAAAAACCAAAGGACCGACGCGAGATTGTAAATCAACATTGTCAATCCCATCAAAGAAGTGTATAAATATTCTTTTGAACAAATTGTACCCCGATAATTGTCAATCGACGTCAATTCCAAACTTATGTAAGTTTCTGCATGTTTTTCCATATCTTATAGTCTGCTGCTATTTCTGTATTCATATGAATTTCGCCGCATTAGTATCTGTTTAATAATTGGTAATTTATCTCCCATCCCTTGTATTATTTAGTTTTTTTTTTTCTTTTTCTTACACTCCGTGTATTCTAGAAATAAAAACTTTGTATTATTCTCGTGTTGTCTTCTGTTGTTCTGTGTCTGCGAATTGTTCATTTTTCTCTCTGCGTTTACCGACGTCCGAATTGGAGAATTCCCTCCCAACGTTCTTTTCTTTATTTTTTATATCGAACCTTGGGATCTCTTATTTTTTTTTTTTTTTTTTTCGTTCGTCCCGGCTATAAAGTAGTCCAACGAAACCCAGGCGTAACAATAATATATATATATATATATATATATATATTATATGTGTGTATTTAGGCAGCATCTTTTCATTCATACACGTTTCATTAAATAATATAGACAAGTGTTGTCTATTTATTTTATGTAAATTTTTTTTAAAGAACGTCTGATAAGTTTAATAACATTATCGTTGAACAAAGAAAGAAATTCACAATATTGATCCATATTTTTTTTTTTATTAATACAATCTAAGCTTTCGCTTACATAAGCCATTATCAAAGATGTCAATTACAACATATTAAGCAATATACGGACAAGACAGTGATGATAGTCTGTCATTGTTTACATAGATGATTTCTAAGCAACGATAAACACGTGCATATAAGACGCTAGAAGCGAAAATCGCACCGCATCTCATAACGTCACACATGACCACACGAGAGTGAATTGGAGAAGTATGAAGTATGGAAATCCCTTGGTATAAACCAATGGCTTCTGTTACCAATTATAGACATTTAAGAATATTTGTAGAGATGCCATAATTGATTTTGTTTAGGTTGGGTTTCAACTGTCTGATGTATAATGCTTCAAGGATTTTTAGTTTTGTCTATTGTTTTCATAAAAAGATAAGTATAATTGTGTTTTCGACAAGTATTTTTACGGAATTGTGTGTGCGGGCAGGCATGTTGTTTTAAATGCCTAAAAATGTTAGTTTTCATTCAAATGTAGTGTCAAGTTTGTGTGTGTATATATATATATATATATATATATATATATATATATATATATATATATATATAAAAAAAAAAAATAAAGCACTTCATGGGTGAAGTGGTAGTTGTGTGTTATGGTGTGAATTCTTTTACTCTTTTGATTTATGGCCCTAGTATTCTCTGATGTTAGACTTGCAAGACTGATTTTTGATCCTTGGAATTATGATCTCTCGGACTTATGACTTTTATGATCTGAACCTTCATCTTGCTATTTAACCTATCTACAATAAAGTACAGCATTAGTAATTACACTGTCTTAATAAGGAGGTAGATTTTTTTTTCTTTTTGTCATATGAACAGCTAGGAGGGAGCTTGTAAATGCTATTGTGTTGATCAGAGAAGACAAGCTGAAATGCTTGCTATTTTTTGTTAATATTCTTTTTTTTTTTTTTTTATCAAATATTTAGTAGGTTAAAAGCAAAACTTATAACTGTATCTTGTGTAACTTTATACTTTTATCTTTTTTGTCACCTACCCATTTCTGTTTTCCATTTGTAGGTATGCCACATAGTGTTGGGTCTTCGACCACAGACACGTGAGGAAGAGGGTAAAATTGTCAAGTGAGTATTTTTTTCTCAATGATAGATTCTCTAACTTTAAGAAGTGTCATTGACATTCCAGGTATTGAACAGCTGAACTTATGTGTGTCGTTGTTTTGCCCCAATAACCCATTCTACAGCTGTCAAGTGTATAATTTATCAGGAAAGAGAAGAATTGTTAAAATTGAAATTTATGGATTCTACACTTGCAGAATGCATCAGGTGAAATATTGTCCGACAGCAACGATGCCAGCATAAAGGACATCTTCATTTGTTCAAAACTTAGAATCTCGTAAATTTTCTTTCTTTGTTCTAGATTCATGGTTTTCTTTCATCACTTTTATGACTGAATAGTGAATTTCATTTTCACTGAGTTCCCCATATTTTTGGCTTTCTGCCACATCTAAGTTATTTTTAGAAAATTGCCATATTTCTTTTCACTTTTGATGTTGTATTTGCTATTTATTCAATTACAAGCTATGTAACCAATTTTCTGTCTATATTTCTGAGATGAGGTAGTGTAACTATTTACATTGTTTGAGCTGTTGTCCTTGTCTTTATTGTCACATTCATGATGTTTCAGCTGTTGAATGCTCTAGCCTTCTTCAGGAGATATATGTTGAAATTTTATGAAATTTTATGTTGAAACCTTTTATTTCATCCACTACATACAGTTGGTTGATCTAGTCCCATGTTCCTTTTCTGGGTATCTCAGTTATTTCCCTTTTAGTAACTCAACTCTTCAAGTTTTCTTCACCTCCGTTGTGACAAGTTATTGAACTCACAACTCCTTGGTCTCCGGATTACTTCAACCAACGTCTTTATCCAAATTGATGGTGTGACAATAAAAAAAAAAATAATTAAATAATGAATTTTGTAATATTAAATTTATAGTGAGATTGTCTTGATTAAAAGTTTTAATTGTTAATGCTTCTATTTTTGCTTTTGATCTGAAGGGGTTGGTTGGAGAGAGAATCTCGGAAAGTTCTCAAAGTTGGACAAACCTGGTATCTCATTAGTATGGCATGGTGGAACTCCTGGAATGAATATGTCTCATCAGAAGTAAGTCTCCTGTTGTATAATGTAATCTTTTCAGATTGATTCCTGTGTGAAAAACGGAAGAAAAAAATGTTTTTGTTTCTTTAACCTTGGTTACAAAATATTTTTACCAACCAACTTTAAGTACAATGCTTGTGATCTTTCTACTAGTTGACTTTCACTGTTGCATTGTTGCCTAACTGCTGGCTCATTTTCAGGAAAATAATAAATTGCCATTTATTGGAAATAAATAACTGTAAAGATGCTAACAGCAATTTCTGAGATGGGTCGGGGGTCACCACTTTGGTTTCGATCAGATACTACTCAGTACAGAGTAAGTTAAATGACACCTCCAATGCACAATATAAAAATACATCACAAAACAGGTCTTGTTGTGCATTGCTATATGTCTATGCTGATTTGGAAATAGCACAAAGCGTTAGTTAATTTATAGCAAAAACATTAGTACCAACATTTTGCATTGTCTTGAAAAAAAAATCTATTATATATTATACAGCAAAAAATCCCAAATTACTTCATTAGTGTAGTCTATTTTGAACCGGCACAACCTTATGCCAGTCTTCTTCAGCCCTAGACCTTGGCATAAGGCTGTACCAGATTGAAATAGACTATACCCGCATGAGGTAATTTTGGATTTTTTGCTGTATAATATATATTCTCTGTTGTAATAAATACATTGAGCTCTCTCTATGGATCAATTTTAATATCTGATATTACTAGGATCCACCTGGATTATATACCAACAGATCTATTTTTATATATATATATATATATATATATATATATATATATATATATATATATGTGTGTGTGTATAAAAAAATAACTAATATGAGTTCCATAAAGATATAAAGCAAGTCTTGAAAACATACATATACACGTGTGTGTGTATATATATATATATATATATATATATATAGGTAGTAATTTTTCATTAATGCATGTTTCATTAAATAATATAGACAAGTTTTGTCTATTTATTTTAAGTAATTGTCTGATAAGCTTAATCACATTATCACTGAAAGACGAAAGGAAAGCACCATATTGATACATGTTTAAATACAATCTAAACTTTTGGTTTACGTAAGCCATTATCAAAGATGACAATTTCAATAAATCAAACAACAACGGACAAAACAACAATGATAGTCCGCCCTTGCTGCATGAAAATTTCCAAGTAACGACAAACTCGTATATATGAGACTCAGAAGTGAAATCGCATCACAGCTCATGATGTCACACATGAGAGTGGAAAACGAGAAGTATTAAGTATGGAAAGCCGTCGGTATAAACCAATGGCTTCTGTTATAAATTATAGGCATTTATGGATATTTGTGGAGATTTCATAGTTTATTTTGTTCAGGTTAGGTTTCAACTGTTTTATGTATAAAGCTTCAAGAATTTTTAATTTTTGTTAATTGTTTTCATGTTTAAGTATAGTTGTGTTGTCTGTCAACAAGGATTTTCTGGAATTGAGTACGCAGGCAGACATGTTGTTTTAAATGTCTAAAAATGTTAGTGTTATCATTTAAATGTAGAGTCAAGTGCTGTGAATATATAAAAATTCCCTTTCATATGAGAGATTGTTGAAAAGTTCTTGGCCCAACCCACTTCCCAAAATAACACTTTTTTTTAGAACTTCTTGGTTGAGTTCAGAAATTTTCAGCACTTCATATTCATATAAAAAAATACTGTGAGTGATTTAATTAACAATAAAGAAAGTGGAGTTGCTGAGTTTTTGGCTGAGACAATTTGTTTTTTTACTTTACACAAATGTCTGCAAAGAAATACATTATTCCATATTTTTCCTCCCCACCTATGAGCAAAATAGTAGAGTAGATTAAGCACTCTAGCCTTGTTTGGAAACCAATCAAGGAGAACAATTATGCATTTATCTATTCCGTTCAACTATGGATAAAAATTTAGATTAAAACAGAAGGTGGTTATACTAGTGAAATATGATATGGGGAACAAGCTGATTGAGCCATCGTATTTGGAGATAATTCTCCAAGACTGTCAAGTGACAGTGCCACTACAAGTGAATTTTAGTGATCAAAAGGTCTGATGATAATGTTTGAATGAATATGTCAGGACTGACCATTCCCTTTTGCCTTTATTTTCTTTGTACAAGATGCAAATCAAACATTAACATTTCCTTCAAATAAACACAAAATAGCAAATTCTGGGATTTGATCATAAAATTATTATTTTCATGGCAGTTGTTTTAATAAGCTCTCCTCCTTGGTACACCAACAGCATGAATTTAAGCATTCTACTAGATTGGCAGCTAGGTCTCATTTTACTATTGAAATTGCTAGATGTAACCATAAGTTCTACTCTAAGGGTTTCTTTTCCTGCACTTCTCACTAGTTTCTCTTTTCCCCGCTACCTACAATCTTTAAAAATTGAAATGCAACATCAGTTGCTATCTTCTGTCTTCCTGAATCCTGTTTTTTTTTTTTGTCTTTTCTCCTTAAATTTTTTCATTTTCTTTCACCCTTATTAACCTCTTGCATCTTAGTGGCATTATCACCTTGCTTGGAGTGAAATGATTAAAAAATTGGTATACAGCAGGATCCATAGTTAGATTGGGATGGATAAACAATTGACAGATATTAAAGTAATATCAGTTTACAAAATGACTTCTGAAGCCCATTTGATCACAGAACTTTTGCTCCATCCCAAGAAATATATATTGATTGAAATGGCAGACCTATTGTAAAAATGAAATGAATTCCATAAAAACTCTTGAAATGGAGTTGAACAAAACTTTTGATCTGACGATTCAGATTTTGTTGGCTTTGAGGACATTGAAACTTTTACTCCTTTGAATATATTTGGCAAAGTTGATTTCCTTTAAATGTTTTGAACACAAAAATCTCACTGAATGGTCCAGCTTACAAGGAGATTGATAATTTCTTACTGATGATTCCATGAACATCTCACTGTAGTTGTCTCCTAATTCATCATCAATTCTTGAGACATCAACTTGTCAGCTAAAAAGCATAAATTGTAAATCAACTCATTTACTAAGTATTATCAGAATTTGCGTTTTAGCTCTGAAATTGTCCAGCATAGATTCCAGATGATAATTAATTTTTCACTCCTCAGAGCAAATTATTAGACCCTTTTATGGAAAAAGGTGGCCTCATTTTTAGTTAGCAGGTGGGAGAGGGTAATTTGTTAGCCAAGAATGAAGAGTTCAATCCTTGGGAGGGTTAGTATTAACAATCGCTATAATCATCATCTGACAGTGAAGAGAAGAGGAAAACTTGAGGAAAGAAATGTGGTTCTACAGAAGGATTCTGAGAATACTATGGATGGAATATGTAAGCAATGAGGCAGTTTTAAGGAAACTAGAAGCAAAAACACCACTCTTAGAATCAAAAAGAGATAGTTGCAATTTCTGAGACACAATGAGGAAAAATAACTTGGTATCCACAAGACATGTTCACAGGAAGAGAAGCAGAATGATGGGTAGTTGGTTTTAAGCATCAAGCCTACTTAACAAGCTTGTGTAAATGAATGACAGAACAGAGACCAGGATATGAAGGAGAGAAACATTGTTTAGAGCTTCTAAAGGATAGGAAGATATGGAGAGCCATGATCACCCGTTTAACGAAAGGACATAGTCCATAAATGATGAAGTCATCATGTATTTTCTTGAAATCTTATATTTTATTTGTATTAAGATGATTTCATGGAGAGTATCCCACTTTTGTATTTTAAGGTTTCTGCTGTTTACACTGACCTTGACATTCCAATCTCCAATGACATCAAATGGTCAAGCACCGACTCGTTGGGCCGCCAGAAAATAGCTAAGGGCAATAAGAATTCCTTGCTGGCCATGGAAGATGACTCCGTGGTGATGGTGAACATAACCAGAGTGGAGAACAGCTACACAATGCAATCTATGACGTCAAGCATGGTTGACGACAATTGTTCAAGATCAGCTGTCGGCCTCTGCGGTAGTGGCCGGCGTGAAGCATTGAATCCACTTGACATGTGCAGTAACAGCATCACCCGCAGCCCAAGTGCTTCACCCAAAATGCGCAAGAAGACACAGGTGTCTCTGCCACAGAAACCAGGGGCCATTGACAATAGTCCTCTTGTGCAAATGAATGCAATAAAGGTAGGTTCACAAAAGTTTTTTCTTTCTTCATTTTGGTCTGTTGTTCTTGCCACCAAAAATCTAAATGCTACATATTTTATCATTAGGTTTTAATGTGTCAATCTTTACAATATATATATATATATAAGTTCTTATGTTAGTTTTGATTAATTCTTACTTGGGATAATACAATAACTATAGAAATCAGATTGAATGTTTTATGTCCGATAAACTATTCCATTTTTAGGGAGAAACCTAAAATATCAGATTTTTGTAAACCTATAATTAACACTGGATTTTTATTTTCTTATAATTAATACCAGATATTATGGTATTAATCAGTTAATAATAGTTTACCAATATCGTAAAAAATAAATCTTAATCCCTGACTGTTTTGAATCTGTAAATATAAAACTAAAGGGTCAGTTTAAGGGAGATAACTCGTACTGATTTGATAGGAGTAAGATAAAATTTTAATGAAAGACATTGTAAATTGTTACTTTCGTTTTATTGACGAGATTTGTTCTAATGCAGGACATTCATTCATGATTAAAATAAACTTTTCAATGTTTATTCATTGAATAATAATCTTTAAAATGAGTGGAATCTTCTGTCCTAAGTTGAGTTAAATGAGCTTTTTAGACAGTAGCATATTTTTAATTTTTGATGATTTCAAAGGAAAAAATTTTCATTAACCTATACTACCTTTCAAAAGTTTGAGGTAACCCCTGTTAAATTTTTCAAATTGGCCCTAAAAGAAATTGTTTTGTACTTTAAATAAGAGAAAATTATTATACATGGTTAAAACAAAAGTGAGATATGATTTTTTTTATTAGAAGTTTTATTATGACAAAATGAAAAAAAAATCATTTTCTGATTAAATTTTGCTTTCATCAATATATCCTTCTTTAGCCTTGATTACTTCAGCACAAATTTTTGGCATTCATTGCAAAAGTTTCTCAAAGTATAAGTTTGATGATTGATTCCATTCTTATTTTTCAATGAATCTTAGAGCTCTTTTTCATTTTTTTTCTCCACTCTTCTGTCAACTTCATCCCATGCTAATTCTGGGGGTGTCTACAAACTTTTGAACTGCAGTGTATATCCTCCTGGAGACAGTTTGAATTGACACTGTTTTTTTTTTCCGTATATCTTAGCTATAATTGTAAAGTTTAATTTTTGAAAATGAAAATTTCCAAGTTTTCATCTGAAATCAATAGAATGTAAAATTTAAGCAAAATCATCACAATATATGAAAAAGGGAAGGCATCAGTTTAACCGTTTACCAAGCTGATATTACTTATTCTATTCATCATTTATATCCTAGAACTTCATAAGAATTTCTAAAAGCCTTATAGTGTTTTATTAGGTCTTGACTAACTTGCATTTAGTCATCTCTCTCTTTGTTATTGCACAAGCATTTGTGGCACACATTTTGCAATATTCTAACATTGTTAAAATCATTTCCAATGCATTGAAGCCGACACACATTGCATTACTCAATTCCCTGGTCATAATCTACCAATTTGCAAGAACAAGCTGATTGAGATCTTCTTTATTTTATGAGTTGGTAGCATGGAGAAAAATGGGTAAACCCAGTTTATTGACTTCTAATAAAGTTGCGCATGGTGTTTCAGGAAAGAGATTGAACTTTTTGGGTGAATTCACTTGTAACATTTCTTTTGTTGGAAAAACCAAGAAACTGTTGGTGTTTGTATTAAAGAATACTGCTAATTTATTTGGAACAGATTGGATTGCATTATTTGATCGTTGGGACCTACCAATTAACCCTTTTTGTAACAAAATAAATATTTTTACCTCTGGTGCTAATATGACAACTGAAAATTTAAGCCAAAAAGGAGTGTACCTTTTGCAGCTTTAGATCCAATTAATCATGAATTAGACAGACTAGAAAAATTAGGTGTGTTCTCAAAAATAGATTGTTCCAAATGAGCATCACCAACAATTTACGTTAAAAAAAGAAATAATAAAAACCGCATATGTGCTGATTTTTCAATGGGGTTAAATGAAAGTTTAAAACAATATAACTGCACATTACCAAGTCCAGAGGAAATTTTTGCCAAATTAAATGGTGGTAAATTTTTTTTTCTAAATTGGACCTGTCAGATGCTTACGTACAAGTACTAGTAGATGAAGAGTGTTCAAAATTATTAACAGTTAACACTAATAGAAGGTTAGGCAAATTTAAACAACTTACTTTAGGTATAAAGGTAGCACCAAGCATAGTTCAGCAGATTATGGACACGATGCTTGCCAGTTTGAATTGTGCACAAGCATATTTAGATGATGTACTTATTAAAAGTAAACCTAAAAGCAACATACAGAAGATGTAAAAGTATTTGAGAGAATTAAAGAATATGGTTTTAAGATCAGTGAAGGAAAATGCAAATTATTTATGTCCAGACTTAAATATCTAGGACAAATTATCAATGAAAACAGTAGATGACCAGATCCTTCAAGGGTGAGCACAAGAAAAGACATGCCTGCTCCAACAAATGTAACAAAGTTACAAGCATTTTTAGGGTTTTGCTAATTACTATGATATATGCCAAACATGCACAAATTAAGACCACCCTTGAATAACCTGTTAAAGATGTGAAATGGAAATGGTTAGATAAATGTCAAAATGCTTTTGAAGTGATCAAGAAAGTTTTAATGTTGGATTTATCACTAGCTCATTTTGACCCTAAATTAAAGATTATGGCTGCAAGTGATTCGGGTATTGGAGCAGTGATACTACACAAATATGAGGACAGAAAAACTAAACCAATAGCTCATGCTTCAAGATCATTAATTGCAGCTGAAAAAAGCTACAGCCAGATTGAAAAGAAAGCATTGGCCATCATATTTCCTATAAAAATGTTTCATAAATTCATACATGCTAGAGAATTCATACTACGGACAGACCATTGTCGATTATTGTCCATATATGGATCAAAAAAGGATGCTCCCACACATACAGCAAATAGACTGCAGCACTGGGGAATTATCCTATTGAACTGTAATTATAAAATGGAGTTTTTACCATCCAAAAAATTAAGTCATGCAGACGGATTGTCTAGACTAATACCAATATACTGCGAATGACTTAAAGACACAGTAGTTGTGGCGATAAGGGCCGAAAATGAAATTAATAATGTATTATACAATATTGTAATAGAACTGCTCATAACATTGGAGGAAATAAGAATTAAGTTGGAAAAAAGATGTGTTTATAATGAAAATGAAGAATCAATTAAGATTTAAAGGAAAAAATATTACTGGAAATAATGCATTTTCATTAGGTAATAATGTACTTATGTATGCATAAAGAATGGTGATACCAGCATCGTTGCAAAAACGTTTGCTAAAAGAATTTCACATAGGACATCCAGGAATTTCTAGAATGAAATCATTAATGAAGTGTCATACTTATTGGCTAAAAATGAACCAAGATATCAAAAATTTAGTCAAATTATGCAGAGGTTGTGCTCTGGAAGCAAAGTCACTGCCTATCAAAATTCAACCATGGCCGAAAACCAATATGCCATATCCAGAATACATATAGACTTTGCAGGACTGTTAAACAGAGCATACTATCTAGTGATAGTTGATAGTTACACTAAATGCCAGAAATATTAAAATGTAGAAGACCGACTACCGTGTTAATGATAAATTTCCTACACAAGATTTTTGCAAGGTTCGGTATTCCTGACTCTATCATTTCAGATAATGAGACACAATTCAAGTTTAGTGAATTTAAGGTTTTTTGTAAATCATTAGCAATAGAACATATTACAACTCCCACTTCTAATCCAAGATCAAACGGAACGGTTTGTTGATATGTCTAAAAGGGCATTAAAAAAAGTTGGAGGGAGAGGAGTTAGCTGAAGTAATGCTACAACAATTTCTGAGCGTTTTCAGAATAACACCATGTCTGGAATATCACCTGCAGAGTTGATGTTCACCAAGAAGATTAAGTTTGTTTTTTAATAAATTATTACCGGAACATAAGGCGAGAGCATCAAGAAATAATAATATGAGTAAATACTTCAAACCTGGAGATAAGGTATTTTTTAAACATGTAAAAGAATTCTGGGAAGATGGTGTTATAAAAAAACGAATCGGCAAAATGACATACATGGTACAGGGACAAAGGTGGGAACATAAGTGACACCTTAATCAGTCAACACGCTGATTCACTGATTTAAAAAGTCTACAAGAAGAGATACATATGGAAATTTTGTATGACACATTTGATGTACCTACGCCATCAGAAATTGTGGAACCAAAGTTTTATGGCAGGAGAAAAATAATAGCAACAGAATTTCTAAATATTGAACCAAAGCTGAAGGAATATAGACTCCAGAAAAAGTCATCTCAAAGGGGAGGTGTCATATAAGGAATAAAGTGTCGCTGCTGACATTTGGGTTTGAACATGGATCGCCAGAGAGCAAGGACAGTTGACCTCATCTTGAAATAATTAGATAACATGACAGGTAAAGGAAAAGTATATATATATATATATATATATGGGAATTAGTGGAGTCTGACAGAGTATTGTTCAAAGGTGTTATTATTGTATCTGTGATTTACAAAGTCTCTTACAAATGGGCATTACAAAATTAACTATAGCTCAGCAAATGTCATTGGGTGTAGTTTTTTTTTTTTTTTTTTTGGTGGGGAGGAATTTAGTGACACATCTCTGCTTTGTATGCACTGTCATGTCAGATGCCATTTTGACAGACTGCTTCTTGGTCAAAATTAAAATTATGAGTTATTGGCAGGAAGATTAAGTTTCACCTGCTGTATTACCACTGTATGCCACTTATAGCATGGGCTGTCATTAAAATAAGAGGCATTACTTTCAGATCAGAGCAACCCTTTAAAAATTACTGATATTTGAAAAATATTTCCGTACTTTATGCAAATTCAAAAAGCAAATTTTTGTGCACATGAAGCAACATGAAGGTTGTGATATGATGGCAGCCATTGAATGTGCAAACTGTTATATATTCATATAATTGTAAAATCCTGACTGCAAAAAGTGCTATAAATTGGGAGAGTTCATGTACAGTTTTCACTGATTACTTATAGTATATGCCTTAAAAATGTCTCCAAGGAATTACTTGAAGAATGGCTCCAAGCAAGACAAATCATGATTATTTACATTAATAAACATTTAGTCATTAAAAAATGAAATGAAGCTTCATAATTATTTAGAAAGAAAATGTTTTTTTTTTATTTTCAAGTTGATTTTGAATTCAATTTATTTGTATTCTCCAGGTTATGACACTAACAAATGAAGGAGGCCGTTTGAAGAAAGATGTCCCTCTCGTTAGATCAAAAGATTTTGAAATTGTTCCAGAACCTGTATGGAGAGCTTTGTCCAGCTGGTATGGAGGCAATCCTGCACTACCTCGTACTGTAAGCAAAACCCTTTTTTTATCTCCTTACATTAAATAAAAGGCTTTGATTCTAATTAGGGGACAGCTTTTTGTTGTCAAGGTTTTGTTGCATTCACTTATGTGCAAATCCACTTGTTAAAGGGATGTATTCATCTCTTCCCCCCTAGCTATGGGTTAAATAGCAGGGCGTGTATCTGAAAAAAAACTGAGACCCCATCAAAGCAATACACACACACATATGTATGTATGTGCAGTGCTTATTGGAATGCGCTCAATATCAGTGATAAAGCTAACATATTTAGTTGAATGGATATGAGTTTGTAACCTTGGGTTTTACGCTTATGCAATCCTCAGACAAACTGATTTATTTTTTAAAATTTAAGACTGTTTATGTCAGTTTTTGTTTGATTATGTTTGGTGTTGATGGGGGACAGGTAGAATTCTATCTGTGTCCGTTTGGGGATGATGCTCACATGCACACTGACATACATAGATACAGGTGTAGACACGCATTGTTTATATATGTATGTCTCCATGTGTACGAGTGTCATCCCAAAACTCGTGGATAATTATGGTTTGACTTATAGCTACAGAATTATTATTAAAAAATATGTTGTATATTTTGAAAAACTCCATCTTTATTTTTCTGTTATTGATTATCTTGTGATACATGAATATTTCTGAGATGAGGAATTATCCTTATTTACAAGTGAACTGTTATCCTCATCTGTTGTAAAAGTCTTGCTTTTTGGAATCAAATGCAGTTTTGCTTACCAAGATAATTAGTAACTTTTAAAACTTTTTGACATTTGAACATTCCACTAAAGACTAAAGTTTTGCATATTTTTTTTAAATCATATAAATGTTTTTTCTTCAATACTAAATTTTTCTTCAATACTAAATTTTTCTTCAATACTAAATTTTTCTTCAATACTAAATTTTTCTTCAATACTAAATTTTTCTTCAATACTAAATTTTTCTTCAATACTAAATTTTTCTTCAATAAATTTTTCTTTTATAAATTTATAGGTAATTTTTCTTCAATACTAAAAAACTAAATTTTTCTTCAATACTAAATTTTATTCAGTTAAAGAATACTAAATTTTATTATTACTTTTGTATTTTTGATACCTTTGCTATCTTTTTATAGGTAATATCAGAACTTCCCAATAAAAAAGCTTCCACAGGCTGCCTCTACGTTTACTGGAATGATGGCTGGAATCAGTGGCATGACATTCAGTAAGTATTTTCAAAAGAATGTTCTAGTTGGTTTGCATATCAAACCCAGTTGATTTAGGGAGGTAATTAACAAGTATATACAAAACAATGGCAACAGTGCTGGAAGGATAACCCACACAATAAACACTTCACAATTCAGCCTAAAATAGGAGAATGGAAGTCAACTTTCAGAAAATAAAAGGAAGTAGTAGTACTGGTCCGCTTATGCATTAGCCATATGAAAATAACCCATCCTACTTGCTAAACAAGGAAGATCAGCCATTATGCTAAGCATGAGAAACAACATACACTATTAAACATATATTAGCCAAGTGCTCAGACCTTACTCTCTCAAGACAAAAATACTATAATATAAACATATATGAGCTCTTTGAAAAAGCAAAAATGGATGATATAATATTATTTCTTAAAACAGTGGGCCTTTACCAAAAAATATAAACCAAATAAAAATGTCAATAAAACCAACTCCTCTACAAATTTTATATCTGAAAAGAATGCATCAATGAAACCACTCTCGACATAAAACCTTTTTTATAAAAATACATCAATGAAACCTGATATCTTACAAACTGATTTCTTACTAAGAATACATATTCTGCTCAGATGAATCTATTCTAAATCTTGTCAGCATTAAATAATGCACTGAGGTTGATATGCCATAAAACAAAATAAACCAAACCAAGACCAGTTGAAGGACTTTATATCAACATCATAGCTGACATTTCCACTACACTGTTTTGTGGTTTACTTCTCAGTACTGTTTTGATAGGCTTTTAAAGCTAAAACCTGTTGACTTGATGTAAATATGTTTTAGTTCACCATGATGACTGTTGAACTGGTGTTACATAGCAATATTCTTTTTTTGTGAATGATGTGTTGTTGGATGTATGGCATCCGCATGTAACTTAATTTTACACTTCATCAAAACTGCAGCAAGTGAAGTACCATTGGGTGAGTTAGGGGTTTGGTGTGGTGCTGTAACTTGCTAGGAATGTTTCTAGGAAGATTTCTGTGGTAGTTCCCTCCCCTTTGAGTTTTAAGAGAGCCATCTTAAAAGTGTCAGCAAAACGTTCTTCCTGTCTGTCTGATTGTGGATGGAATGGTGGGAGACATACATGTTAAATACCATTGTGTTGGCAGAAGTCTGAAAGTTTAGCTGAAGTGAAGGTAGTGCCATTGTCTGAGACTAGGGTCTCTGGTCCTCCAAATCTGTTAAAGATTTGCTGCAGTTTCAAGTTTGTTTCATCAGAGGTGATATAATTCATGGGGAAAATTTCTGGCTATTTGCTGTAGGCATCAACAAGCACAAGAAATAATGTTCCACTGATGGGTCCCACAAAGTCAATGTGAAGATGTGACCAGGGAGAATCTGGTACAGGCCATGAAAAAAGTGTTGATTTCTGAGCTGCTAACTTGAATTTTTAACAATCATGAGCAAGGTCTTCTAGCTGTTTGTCCATATTTGGTCAACAAACATAGCTGCAGGCCAAGGCCTTCATGCAGCTAATGCCCTGTTTTGCAAGGTCAATAGAACAATTACACATTCCCCAAAAAGAATGCAACCATTCACTTTGAATAATTAAGACTGACAATAGAATAAAGGTTGAAGCTGTTTGTTGAGACATACTGCTGGCCACTTTGTTCAGTGGGAGTGAATCACATTCTGTAACAATGGGTCAGAGACTGTGGCTTTCTGAACCATTTGTGAAGTGACTGGCAGTGTTTTTACAAGGGTTCTAAACTCTGAAACAATTTCCAGTTCCACAGATATTGCTACAACAACTGAGTTCTCTGGTGGTTTGCAATGTGTATTCAGATATCTGGATAAGGCATCTGCATGACCAGTTGAATTTGTTGAGTGGTATTTGATTATAAAATTGTAATCTGAGAGTTTGGTGACCCACCATTGTCAACAATGAGCAGTATAAACAGGAATACATTTCTTGAATCTAAAAATGCTAACCAGGGTTTTATGGTGTATGACCAAGGAGAAATGATGTTCATAAAGCCTCTGATGAAATTTCTTTATGGCAAAGACAATTGCCAAGGCTTCCTTCTCAATTTGACCATTTGTTCAGCAGGTTTGTATGACCTTAATGCAAGAGAAATGGCCTTCTTCTTGCCATCAGGAAAGACATGGGAAATCATAGCTCCAATGTGATAGTCAGAAGCATTGGAAACCACAATGATGCCTACAGATGGGTTATAGTGTGTGAGAAGCAAATCTGAAGAAAGATTTAATTTTGGTAAAAGCAGACTGGCAATCTGCTGACTGTTTCCATGGAACATCCTTCTTTATAAAACATCCTAAATATGATGGAGTTCTGGCAAAAAAAGAACTAATGGCTAATCAACCAAGAAAAGAATGTAACATTGAAATATTTACTAGTGCTGACAAATTTTTGGTGGCAGAAATATTTTCCAGGTCTATTCTTGTTAAAAATAAACCTGAGGTACTTAATTGAAATTAATCAGAAGTTAGTCCTGCTAAAAATATGCTAAAATAGTTGCTTTTTCAGAAAGCAGTATATGACAGGCTAAAATAGTTGCCTTAACAGGAATATTTTTCAAGTATGCTAAAAGTCATTGAAAGCACTGCCTCTCCAAATATATCTTGCTAAATATTCATGCCTGTGTGACATCTTGATGAGGATTTTTTTGTATATTTTTATTTCAGATATTGCCAACCTGTCAGCCAACACCCCACGAAGATATATGGCCTATACTGCAGCTTTCAGCCGACATCACACCTTGCAACAGATTTATGAGTTCCTGTGTGGACGGTTGCGATTCAACAAAGAGGATATACGACTTTGGAAGTTAAAAGATGAGGTAAGGAAAAAATTTTATTTGTATGTGTTAGTGTATGTATGGTCCTCCATTGATGTTCAAGAAAAACAAAAAACAAAATTTCAAATTTTTTAAAAAATAATCAAAAAAATATAATTTAATAATCAAAATTCCTTTTGGTCTTTCCTTTTAATAATAAGAAAGATTTTGATAATAAAACTATGTTTTTATTAAGTTTGGGGCATTTTTTCATCATGGTATGCTCATTTTTTAGTGAATCTTTGTAGGTATATATATATATATATATATATATATATATATATATATGTGTGTGTGTGTTACATGTTCATAA